AAAAAAAAAAAAACAGATGTTCCCTAGCGACTTTTGTAACCATGTTGCAAAGGTTGACACACGAGGCGCGTATATCGACGGGTCTATATTCAAATCACCCTTTTTCATCAGCAACGGTAACAGATGTTCGTCGCCCATCGATCACGAGACGATTCTATTTTCGAACTGACGCTTCTTTCGGAACGTCAACTACGCGTCTGGATAAAAGATCTATCGATCAGCGGTGTAGCGCCTTCGCGTAACGTAGCGAAATAATTACTCTCTAATGAGGCCCTCTAACACCGAGGCGAACTCAAACGAGAGAGCGCGGCATTTTTTCGAACTTAGTTCGCGGCTTGATTTAATTATCAACTGTTGATTAATGAAGCGTACAACTTCCGCCAAGTTTTACTCGCGGAAACGAGTATAAGAAGATCGATCGCTAAACGCGCTATACACCTCGCCTTGACTCGCTATCGAGCGGCGGCTCGTCAAACGAGTTAACACACCCGTGCTATAAGGCCACGAACCGTTTATAGTAGTAGAAGCGAAGTTAATGGCGCGACACAGTTACAGTGTTAAAGAATAATTGAATAAGCGATTACAAAAGGGGAAGTGAACAGACGTTGTCTCTTTGCTGCTCGCTCGAGCATTGTCGACGTGCGTAATAAATATTTTATTCTTGTCGAGCTGCTTGAATTTAGAACGAACGTTTATACTTCGGAAACCGTCAAGAAAGTAGAATGTTTTGTCAGCAAAGGGGTTTCTAGCTCGCGTGTCGATCGCTCTTATACCGTTCCATCATAGAAGACGGAATACTTTGATAACTTTGTAGCGTTCAATTACATCGCGGTCTTAATAGGATCGAATTACTTTAAGCGTAACGCCCTGAGTGAACTAACTCGCGACGACATCTGAGCAGCTCGATGGATACGTGTATGAGAGTACGCGAGTAGTCGTGGCATTGCCCGCGTCGTAGTAGTCGCTCGGTGATGACGATGGCTGCGGGATAAACTTAGGCATGTTTGCCAAGCAATCAAATATATGAGTGGAAAGTCTCGTGGGCATTATCGATCGACTCCAAGTCCCCGTGATGATGGGTGGTGCACGAGAGATGGTTGAATTGGAGGAAGAAGGATTCAGGACGAAATGGGTGCGGGAGAAGTTCACGAAACTCAGCTCGCCACTATGAAGAGCCATCGATTCGATCAGCGCTTGATTACATTCGCTATCTGTTGCTGCATGTTATTTATATTATGAAAGCAAAAGAGCATTAAATATAGTCTTGATTCGAGCAGATGGAAAAAAATCGTTAGAATAGAAAATATAAGAAATATAAGATTCTAAGTATTTCCTACACATCTCTTTGTAATCCAAATAATCGACAATTTCTCGAGAATAACTATTGTTATCTTACTTCAAAAGTGATACAATTGAAAAAACATAATTTTCGAACTATTACTATGAATGAGTTAGACGAAGATTACTCTATCAATCATCAAACGTAAATTAATTTAACTTCACAGTCTGTCTGTTACATAGTGTCGTTTTTAAGATTTTCAAAGAGATTATAATACTTTTTACAAAAAATGATACATTTTGAACTGTGTTGTTTTTGTAAATAAAAAGGAAAGTTTTTTTATAGGGAACATTTAGAATTAAAACAGTTTTAATGATCAAAGTTTGAAGAAAAAAGTTGGTTTTATTTTAAATTTAGTCATTTTAGCTCTGAGCAAGGTAAATATAAACTGTTTGTAATATTTCGAGTTATATTACTTTTGATGAATTATTTCGGATTTGTTATAATTTTTTGTTGAATATTAAAGTTGTTACACAATTTAAAAAGGGCAGTTTAAAAGTTTTTTAAGGGTTCTGAAACGGAAATGACAAAAATGACGTTTGATGTTTCTGAGACTGTATCTTTTTGTTGATATCATTTGATTAGCCAATAATTTTTTGTTAAATTAAAAAATAGTATTTTCTCTTTTCTATAAAACTTAGTATTTTTAGTTGTGTTTTGAAGTAAGGGAATATTTTGAGAAAAATTCGCCTTTGTCTTATTAATAACAAAACATTTTTCGGTTGTTTTATCTTATATATTTTGTATTATTATATTTTGTATTATTATCTTGTCTTATTTATTTTATATTATTTTTTTTTGTTAAGATCAAAACAATACACATATATACATACATACATATATATAAGTATATCATCTTATTTATAAAAATCTACATATTTCTTAGATAAAACCTTAAACATGTTTTATAAATTATAATATTTATTATTTTATTATAAAATATGGGATACATTTTTGATGCAAGCAAAAATAGTAGAAAAAACATCCATACGCGATTTCACGTATGGATATATGCGAAATTTCGTGAAATTCGAGTCTTTTATTTTCGCACGAGCTTGCATCCCGTCGATGCGAAAAACGCCGAACAAAAATCTCAAGTGCGCATCGTTTTCGAGAGATCCGTAAAGAAGGAAAAGATGAGGGAGGAACGCTCCTCTGGAAGCTCCGGCAAATTCTTACGTTCGCCGTATACGACTTTAGAATCTATAGGATTCGACAAGGGACTCGTCTGTACATTTGCCCGATATCGGTCCTTCAGAAATTTCGACCATTTTTCCATCTCGAATTCCCTCGCGAGGCGCACGATAATCGCGAATAATTGTCTGTTCGAATTCTGCAAATTAATTTGACAAAAAGAAAATAGAATGATCGAATTTATACTGAACGAATTAATTTGTTACGTATTAATCTACATATTATGCGAATTGTGAATGTATATATTCGCATGCGCACATTAACAGTGGAATCTCGATCCTAGTTAAATATTCGAGGTTTTCGAGATTCAAAGGCCTGATTAATGTAGCGGCATGAGGTTGACATGGCGACATTATCATCGCTACAATGGACGCCAGGTGTTCCAGACAGGAAGGGCCAGAGAGGCAAGGAGTATAATGCCGTCAAGCAACGCCACTTAATGAGCTGCCGGGAACAAAGCGGGAAGAACCGCTTTGTCATTTTTTTTCGTGCTCCAATTACTTAGCGTTTTAGAACAGTTGTACGTGATTATCTTTCCTTTACTCCGCTTCATCTAACACACCTCGTGCGGAATGTACAGTATTCTTTCACGAAAATTGATTTGCATAAAACGAATAATATAAGTTGTACGTAATTTTTTTTCACACCAAGCGTGACGTGATATTCACGATACTCTCATATAATTCATCATAAAGTTTTGAAACATGATATATCGATCGAAGGTCTAAAATTGTCCGCCTATTCCGACTTCCTTGTGTCATATCATTCAAGGAAGCAAGGGATGGGAGTTCGAAACTGGATGTCGAAGACGAGGGCTGCCGAGATCAGAGGAAGGTCCAGGGCTTAGGAAAGGGACGGGTGGATACGTTATCTTGTCGTAGTTCAGCGAGTACGGGGATGGGCGTCCTCTTTTCGCCCTAATTCCCTTCAATCCCTGATCCATCCCATCCCCTAGAAGCATATCGCAATCGAGTTTCGTTTATTTTTCAAGAGGCATCCGTTCGACAGAAATTGGCGAGTATATTGGACGATATTCGATCCTCGAAAAGATTAATCTCATTTTTTAAAAAAGCGTTACCACGTTACGCAATTCTCGCGTACAGTCGAAACTCGCAATGCGTTTCGGTTTCGGCTCTAATTTTAACGTTGTTGCGTTAAATTTAATTATTACTTTCATCGATTAGTTTTTTCATGAGGCAAAAAACTCGAGGCGTCGATCTCGAATCAAATTTACTAGCTATAAAACTCAATGTTCCCCCCCCGAAAAAGAAGAGAAGAAAATAAACCGATACGATATCGCCTGCTATCGGCATAAAATATCGTTTCGGTATCGCCATATGACGCGACCTCAATGCACAGGAAACTCCTCCAAGTTTCTTGCCCCGGTGGTAACATCGAGAGGTTTATTTTTCGAACAAGTCCGTTTCGACAGAACGAACGATCCAGTTGATTATTATCTCGTTTATACGACGCCCGCGCAAAGGATGATAACAATTGCAGCGCATCGTTTTCCAAGCGACGATACAAATAGTTGTTGCACGAAACCGCGATCACCGTCGTCCCGGATTACGAAGCGCGTTGTCCGCGCGCGCGGTAAACATCTTTTATTAAAGTGCAACTTGCGCTCCGCTGGCGCGTCAATTTTTCAAAGAGCCTCCGAGCTCTTTGTCTTCACCGCGTCTCCATCTAACTACCGGCGATGAGCGCACGTGGCAGGTGGTAGGAGAGCGATTAATCGTTCCATCATCTCGTCGCGGACAGCCTCGCTCCTCGACAATGGCGGAAACGGAAACCCCCTTTCGCCGCGGATCACTCGTGAAGATAAAACGGATAAAACTATTTTCGCCTCCTTCCGGGTTTTGAGTACGCCGTGGAATTTTTGTGACGAAGAGAAAGGAAGAGCTGGCTGCCGTTCCTTCCGGCAAATGAATAGCGAACGTTACGAGTTCTATTGAACCTTTTGTTTCGCTTCTATCTTGGCGAAAAATCGTATGGTTTTAGACAAGCGTATTTGTACAATAATACTCTGAAAAAAAGTACACTCGATTCTAACAAATCGATTGTTCGAATAGTACCGACTAAATATTTACTAAATATAAAAGTGTATTTATTTGGTACAAGAGCCATTAATTTTATTTTACAATCATCTTTTTATCGAATAAATATTTACTTACTGTAAGTAAATGTTTAGTTGGCACTATTCAAATATTTATTAAAATTTAATATATATTTTCTCAGTGTACAATAAATATTTATTAAACGTGTAAAATTTATCTCTTGCGAATATTCAAATAAAGATCTGAAATAAAGATAATAATAAAGACTATTTTGTGACATATAATATTCCTCCTATTATGATAGAGGAAGAAGCATATTTTCAATATTTGAGATATTGGCAATACAAATTGTAAAATCTATGACATTTTGCACACTTATTTAATAAAAATCACTCCTCTTTTTGTTTCAGGCTGTGCCTTCGTGAAACTTTCGTCGCACCAAGAAGCACTGGCAGCAATAAACTCTCTACACGGTAGCCAAACTATGCCGGTAAGTATCTGTCGTATAATATTACAACAACGAGCATTAGTCGATCCCTTTACTCTTCGAGCGCGCGTTTATTTTTTTCTCTTTCGATCCGCCTCTTCAGCCGATGACCGCCAGTCATCGTGTTCACGGACGTCGGCGCGTATTTACGCTCGGAAAATGTCACGTACGCGATATTAACAGAAAGGAGGGTAAATATTCATAGAAGCGCTGGATGAAGGGGGGCTGATATGAATATCGAGGATAGGGGATGCACGCCATGGCCGGACAGTAGATGGCCGTCTTCCGTTAACGGCAGAGGAGCGAGGGGGTGGTTGGTGGGGATAACTGGTAGCTGGTGGTTGGAGATCGGACCGTGTAGCCGTAGCAATGGCTGTCGTGCCTGCAAACACCCCAGTAATGACTGGCCAAACAGAAATCTGCATAACACTTGGAGAAGCGCGGCTCGCCTCCTTCTCTCCGCAGCCCTCTGGAGAGAAGAGCGTCCCTCGGTCTCCGTCAAACCGCCGAACTTTCTCGGCTTAGGGTCGGACCAGGAATTCCCAGTTGTAATTGAATTGTCAGTGAGTTCCGTCCGGGATTCCACCTGCTGATTGGCGAAACTTTGCAAAGCCGCTTGCCGGACCCCTGATCGTCCTTGTCGGCGTTATTGCCTATCGACCGCCACGCAGCTTCATCCTGACATGCATTGACGCGCCTAAGGGAGTTTGTGTCTCATACAATTATTATACTATGCACAATTAAAATCGAGACAATCATTTATATTGAACTGTCGCGATTCTACAATTTTTTTATTTCATCATTATCGTCGGTCATATATATTAAAAAGCTATAGCATAAATTTCTACGAATTCAGTATTAAAAGAATTTGAAGGAATTGGAAAAAATAAGCAGAGTACTTTTGTAAAAAAATCTACATTCAACTATGTATTACTGATTTTTCTATAAGCACTCCTAAGAATCTGACACGAAATATGAAACCATATCGCCTTATTACTTTTTATCAAAGCTACTACAAAAGAGTAACAGGATTCATCATATTACATGTTCTTGCGCAAAGGGAAGCTCACGTTGCTTTTGATATTTGACATGGGGGACTCGCGATTCGCCCACGTCGTGCATTAAACGCACGTACGTGCGTTGGGGTGAAATCACGTGGGTGGTAGTGCGGAATGGTTACGTGAATATTACTCGTTACAACCCTCTAATCTAATAGCCGAATACACGGGCAGAAGACGGTGCAGGGGTCGACTTCAGGACCGCGACTATTTGCCCACGAAAGTGGCGCGCACGCGCGCGAACCGTAATATGCAGATTGCTTAATTATCGCAACGAATTATGCAAATCTCAACGTCGATGTTACGAGATTTCGTGGCACAGTCGTGACCGAAGGGATGAGAGAAGTAAGAGGACGAAAGCAGCGGCGAGTGTTGGGGTTAACGCTTTCGCCAAAATGCCGACCTTCGACCCTGAACTATTCGACCCAGAAGAGATACGAAAGGCACGTGGTTGCCTTCTACGCGGGTGGCTTAATTATTGCGGCGAATTATGCAGATTTCGGAACGAAATGGAATTCTGCACGACGTAGGCGAAGAGTAACAGGGGAAAGAAAAAGCTATTTGTTAAACAATTAAATAGCAGCGAGTTATGAGTATGATTTAATGCAGAAATTAAATTCGCATTTTTCTTTTCCGTTAATATGTACGGCAACGAAAATGCAAATCAATTTATTAATTTAATATTTATTTAACGACATTTAAGAATCACGGGTTTTATTTTGCTACTATTTTTAACGGTTAAATAAATAAGTGGCCGCAGTGTCCGATGTATAATTATCTTAAAAACTCTATTCTAGAAAAATAAAAAATATTATACTGAGAAAGGCTCTGTAAGCCGAAACGTTTGCGAAGAATATATATTTTTTGGTAGATTTTCGTTGAGATTCTTATTTAGCATTATGATACTTATGTAAACTATTTTAAGTTAAATTAAATATTTTTAAACTCGAATAAAGCCTTGATTTTGTCATAATTTTATAATACATACGAGCATTTAAATTCTAATAAAAAATATTATCCAGAAACATTAAAGTTTATTATTTTAACGTTCCTTTATCTCATAACGATATAAACAATGTAAATTGAACTTTATACTTAATATTAAAAAATATAACTATAATATATGAATGAAATCTTTTGGACTATTCTGAACACGATACTCTGTTATATATAAAAGAGGCAAGGGTAATCTAATTCTTTGAATTAAATAACATTTTGTTATTTTTAACTCTTCCATGTGTGTGTCTAAATGTCAGTGGCGACCTATAGATGTGATTAAAAATAATGTATATTGAGTATAATTTGACATTATGAATTTACTTACGAGTATACCTACTTAAAGGTTAAACATAACGTAAGATAATAACAAATGCAAATAGTAATAGAAAGGTTTTAGTGAATCGATAAATCTTTTGCAGAAAACAATCGCTGTCGCAAAGTTATAGAGCCCTGAGAGTAATTTGACTTAACTATGTTCGTTCCAGTTTGCTCTGACCCGGAGCAAGATCAACCCCTTCCAATTTTCCCCTCTCCTATCAAATCCGTCGATCTATATAGGCACGTATGTATGTGCGCGCATAAAAATGTCGGGTATATGTACGATCTCACACGTATGTCATTTCGCGTATGTGTCCTCTGCTTTCAGCCACTCGAACACGTCGACACTCTCGGTCACGAAACTGCATTACGAACGCAACATCTCGGCTCATACCTACGAAATGAGATATTGATTTGCAATCTGATACTGTAATACACGACGACACGCTGTCGGCCTGCAGACGACGTACTGGCTCGTAGCGGAAGCGTGAAATCGTAACACCTTATGAAACACATATGATATAGATATACACAACATTAATTATTTTGTTTAGGTAAATGCATTAACATCGATTCCCTTTTCAATTTTTTATACGAATTCTCCAATTTATCATGGCAAGTTTTTTTTTTTGAAGCACGAATGTAAGTAATAATTGATATAAACTGAAGAATTGTATATATATTTAACAAGAGTTTGTACACAGAGAAAAATATCACTGTATTGCTAAAAAAAGTGATTACTCAATAATTTATTTTCTTTTAAGTAACGATTATCTTTTACAAAGAACATTTTTTGGATAATAATTTTAATATATAGTATTTAATATAAATTTTAAAAAACTTATTAATGTGTACTCAAAACAAGAATTTATTTTCTTTTAAAGAATATTATAAAATTAATTAAAGAAACAATTTTACATGATAAACAAATTAAATTTATTTTAATTTAATAATTTTGATTGAAGAGAGTATCAAACGTATTAGGATTCAAAATACATTTTAAATAAATTTGATGTTTGTGAATTTATAATGGATTTGCGGATATACGAATTTTTGAAATATACTTGAAACAAGCATTTATCATTTACGTACAGTATGTATTTTTCTGTGTGCAATATTATACTTTTCCATCACTTTGAAAATATAAGTATTTATATTTTTTTATTACATATATATTATTTTTATTATGCATATCTCATATATTTGTCGCGAGAACGTTATTGTATTAGCGTACAAGTATCATAAATATAATTTATGACTGATATATTACTATTATATAAATACACAGTTTAAAAGTTGTGATAGATTATACGCTTTCCATTAAAAACGCGATATTTTTAATAGATGCATTGTATGTAGCCGCGAGATTAATATTACAGCACTTTCGCTGACAAAACATTACCATAAAACTTGTCTACTGGCAACACACATGCGTATACATTTTATTTCGTTTTCACGAGCAGGATAATGCGATTTACGCCTCTCGGATCGACGCATTTATGCGTCACACGACAGGCAATATTTCTCCGGTCGCTCAATATTTCAGCCGATTTTACAATTCGTCGTTCGCGGATATTACACGCGAGAAGTTTTTAATTTCTAACAATATCGAGACGTTTATATACCGACCGCCGGTTGAGTACAAACATTTTTTTCCGATTTTACGCCCCGTATAATGTGGTTTACGCTTCTCGTAGCGACGTTTCCGTGCCTTTCCTCGCGAGTAGTATTTCTCCAGCAGCTCGATGTATTCCCGGATTTTGTTATTCTCTTCGCGTGGCTTTAAACCCTTTTTTTTCCAATAAACGCTTTAACAGAAAAATAACTTTACCACCACAGAGCGTGTAAACCTGTTCGCGGGATCAGCTAGTTTGCCAGGTTAATGCTTTATGAAATATTACAGAAAAATTTCCATTGACATGATGACATTACAAACCATGACTCTGTCACGCGAAACGTTGAGGTAACGCCGCCCGGCTTTATTCTTTTTTCCGTGTAAAAGATTAGATCTCATACTCGCGATGATAATCTACTACAAGATATATATGCGATCCTGTATCAGCTGCGTAAGAGTATTACACCTCTGGGCTTTGAATTTTTTGCGTGCTTTTTTGTTTGATCACATCGATCCACAGGCTGTTTACACGTCTCGAATCAGAGGCGCGTTCGTGCATCACGCAACGGACAATATTTCTTCGGAGGCTCTCAATATTTTCGCGCTCATCGCCGACGTTCGCTCTTTCTCCCTTTCTCTTGCAATTTGTGTGTGTGTGTGTGTGTGTGTGTGGGGGTGGTGTCTACGTAACGTATACGACCGGGCCTCACGTAGTTATGCTTTCCGAAGCGTATGACATTTCTTGTCACGCCTCGCGAACCCTCCAACGCCACGCTTCTCGCGCACCGAGAGATCTTCCCCTCGCATACATATATCTTCCGGAAATGTCTCGTAATAAAAGGTAAAAACCGCGTGAAGTGTTTCGTCACGCCGCCCCAAAGCGACGTCCCATCGGTCCTATTTGCGTAACTTTGGCATACCGCCGATTTTTGCCATCTCCTCGTAGTAAAGTGAGAAACGTGCGATAGTAGTCTACGTCTATATACAAATTTAAAGCGATTTGGAATATATAA